AACAAACAAAAACACTACAAAACTGAGAGCTTTGTACGTACCTTAAGTGTAATCTCCTTACAAAGCTGACTGCTGTCATTGTGCACACTGATGTAGCTGGAGAAAGTCTCGCCCAGGAAGATGTTGCTGAGGAAGAGAACATCATAAATAAATAAATAAATAAATAAATAAATAACAAATAAGGGGGCACTCGTGGCCTAGAGGTTAAGGTGTTCGCCTATCACTCAGAGGTCCTGGGTTCGAATCCGGGTAGCGACGGAAACATTTTCTTCTCTAAAATTGTCTCCTTTCACCTCCTTTCCTGCTCTCTAGCAAAGTTCTGTCGTCCGCTTTCGTCTCCGCTTTCTATCCCCATCCCCTCACCTCCTTTGCCCCCTCCTCTGGGCTCCTGCTTACTGCTGTCTTTCAGCCACACACCTACTCTTCTGGTAGGAAAGATCTACATCTAGCCTTCTCAGTCCCGTGTGCAAGTTGCGCACGTTAAAGATCCCTTGGTGGTCTAAAATCGATAAAAGTAGGCTTCGGCTCGGCCGCCACCCGGACAAAAGTCGTCAGCACAAAGTAAAGAACCACCAGTAACTGATGTGGTCAATTGTGTCCACCTTAGCGTCCGCCCGTCCGTCCACTCAGTCCACTCAATCCACAACCGGCCGACATTCACAAGCAAGCACCCCGCACAGACACAAGTGCGAAGCATCGTGGTGAAATCAGGAGCTCGTCAAAATAATGAATATGAAGAAAATGGCATTTTTCTGCCAGTTTGGCAATTTTTATCAATATTTTTTGGGAGGGGGAAGGGGTTGCTTAACACCATTGTTGTCCAATGAACAACACATTTCTAGGTGGATTTTATTGAAAAATGTTGATGAAAGGCACACAGAAGTAAGTTTTCAGTTTCTAGAGACTATTAAACTGTGGGAAATAACAAAGCTTTGTCGGCCATTTTCTCGCTAATTTTACCTTGGACACCAGGTGACCCCACCTTCTTCAATTTCAAACACTTCGACTTCTATTCAAGATAGATGGGTATTTTTTTTTCACCGACAGCAAGATAACTGAACAAGCTTTAAGATGATACCAATAATTCCATTTGCCAAAAAAAAAATGACGTGTGTCTGATTCCCCCACGATGTGCCACAACTAGTCCAGCACGTCGACAGCTCGTCAATATTTGATGTCTCCACGTTTTATCTATCGCCACACCCCAACGCCAAGCATTCTTTGACAGGCCCAAAAGACCGTGCGATGTATCGCGACGGCCGGTGGCCATCTTGGTGAGGAAAACAAAAAGGGGGGGGGATCAGGGGATAGGAGTAGGAGGTGTGTGTGTGTGTGTGCGTGTGTGTGAGTGTGTGCGTGTGTGTGTG